ATTACTTTCTGCTTGACAAGAATTACTACTCAGTCTCTGTTAGGTGGTAGAGGCAGAAAAGAGGTAGGGCCTGACCAACTTGTGGGAGGTTAGGGATGGAAAGAAGGGTCTGGAAAGAGGGAAAATAGAAAGGCAAGCTGAGAACTCCTTGCCTGTCTGCATATCTGTTTTATTTTGGCATAGGAAGAAATGAGGGGATCAGGTTTGAATACTGGCTGTGATTTTTAGTGACTTAATTGTCCTGTTGAAGTTACCAACCTTCCATAAGTTTGTTTACTTATAAAGGAGCTTAGTGATATTTCATAGTTATTTTATAAATTCTTTTTTTTTTTTTTTTTTTGAGACGGAGTTTTTGCTCTTGTTGCCCAGGCTGTAGTGCAATGGGGCGATCTCAGCTCACTGCAGGCCCCGCCTCCTAGGTTCAAGCTGTTGCCCTGCATCAGCCTCCTGCGTAGCTGGGATCACAGGTGCCTGTCACCACGCCCAGCTAATTTTTTGTATTTTTAGTAGAGACAGGATTTCACCATGTTGGCCAGGCTGGTCTCGAACTCTTGACCTCAGGTGATCCACCCGCCTCGGCCTCCCAAAGTGCTGGGATTATAGGCAACACGCCAGGCCTATTTTATAAATTCTTAAAAGTTAAATGACATGTAAGTCATCTAGCCCACTGCTTGGTTCAGTGGTCCCTCTCTTTCTTCGTTCTTTCGAAGTAGGGAGTTTGAATTTGAAAGTTAGTTAACTTGGCTGGGCGCGGTGGCTCAAGCCTGTAATCCCAGCACTTTGGGAGGCCGAGACAGGCGGATCACGAGGTCAGGAGATCGAGACCATCCTGGCTAACACAGTCAAACCCCGTCTCTACTAAAAAATACAAAAAACTAGCTGGGCGAGGTGGCGGGCGCCTGTAGTCTGACCTACACGGGAGGCTGAGGCAGGGGAATGGCGTAAACCTGGGAGGCGGAGCTTGCAGTGAGCTGAGATCTGGCCACTGCACTCCAGCCCGGGCGACAGAGCAAGACTCCGTCTCAAAAAAAAAAAAAGGAAAGTTAGTTAACTTGTCAAAATTCATTTTTCATGGTACATAATTAGATACCTTTGCCTTTTTAAAAAGGACTGTTTTATAGACTAAATCAATAAAAAGATAATTGATTATAAGGTAGTATTTCTCTGGGATCAAGTCAGTTGAATATTTGTTGGCCCTTATAAAGATCTGGAAATTAGTTATTCATTGATAGTTAGAGGAAGCAAAATTATGTCACATTTTGGAGATAGGGTCGGTGTGTCAATCACTGAAATTAATTTGATTGGAAACAAAGGTTTGACCAAGTAAGATGGGAATTGTATGAAAACACATTTTAATCTCAGTTTCTTAAACATTAAGTTGAACTCTCAATAAAAATGTGAAAGCTATAAGATTTTTAGAAGTATCTGTGGAGGAAGAGGAAGATGAGGAGGATTTTAGCTTAGCATTCAGCAGACCTTGGCTACCTTCATTCAAACTTAGGTTTTCATTCAGAAGACTAACTTGCTTTTCCCACCTTCCTCCCATTTTTACCATGTAGAATATACCAAATCAGTGGGGGAAAGATAGAAAATTAAAGAAAATAAAAATTATGGATTATTCCCCTTCTCAGAGAAAACTATTGCTGACATTTTAATGTATTTAGTTTCAGATTATTTTTCTTTTCATATTCATGTGTTCATATACTTAAAACAAAAATGACATACTTTAAAATACTTTTTATAAATGCTTTTTTATTTATTATTTATTTATTTTTTTTTTTTTGAGACAGAGTTTCACTCTGTTGCCCAGGCTGGAGTGCAGTGGCGCGATCTCGGTTCACTGCAAGCTCCACCCCCCGGGTTCACGCCATTCTCCTGCCTCAGTCTCCCAAGTAGCTGGGACTACAGGTGCCTGCCACCACACCTGGCTAATTTTTTTGTATTTTTAGTAGAGATGGGGTTTCGCCGTGTTAGCCAGGATGGTCTCGATCTCCTGACCTCATGATCCACCCGTTTCGGCCTCCCAAAGTGCTGGGATTAAAGGCATGAGCCACCGTGCCTGGCCTATAAATGCTTTATTCAATCAAATGTATTGTGAATGCCTTTATGCTGATAAATGTATTTCCACAACATCTGGTTATCTTTGCTCTCTTCTAATTACAGAAATAATGCATGTTTATTGGAAAAAGTTTTCAAGTATATCGGTATATCTAATAGGAAATAAATCTTGCCATATAATCTAATTAATCATTTGTACCACAGTACTTTTTAGTGTCTTAGGTTTCAGCTATATGGACGGACCATAATTTACTGAGTTAATTCCATATTGTTTTCCATTTAGCCATGAATTAGAAGCAATTTACAGTAAACCACACTGCTGTGAACATTTTTGTATATACATCTGGGTACAGTTGTCCAATGATCTCATTAGAATGAATTCCTACAAGTGTATGTGCTGGTTAGTGTGTGTATATTTTAAAGATTTTTTTTTTGGTCAGGTACTGCTAAATTCTTTCCAAAATCAATGTGTTTTCTGATCAGCAGTGTTTGGGGGAATATCTATTTTTTTTCACACCCTTTCCTATCTTTAAGAAAAATTTTTTTTGTGTGCCCATTTAAAAGGTTAAAACTGTTTTTTTTTTTTTTTTGAGACGGAGTCTCGCTCTGTCGCCCAGGCTGGAGTGCAGTGGCCGGATCTCAGCTCACTGCAAGCTCCGCCTCCCGGGTTCATGCCATTCTCCTGCCTCAGCCTCCCGAGTAGCTGGGACTACAGGCGCCCGCCACCTCGCCCGGCTAGTTTTTTTGTAGTTTTAGTAGATACGGGGTTTCACTGTGTTAGCCAGGATGGTCTCGATCTTCTGACCTCGTGATCCGCCCGTCTCGGCCTCCCAAAGTGCTGGGATTACAGGCTTGAGCCACCGCACCCGGCCGGTTAAAACTGTTTTAACTTTCAAGTTATTTTTTATTAACTGAGTTTACTATTACGAGGTTTTGGCTACATGTATTCGTTTGTGAATTACTTCTTGACCTATTTCTAAAAATTGAAGTGTCATCTTTTTCTACAAAAGCAACTATTCCCTTTTTGTACATCAGTCAGTATGACTTAGAAGATGCCTTAGTCTCCTTTGAAACAAAATGAGTTACGTATGAATAAAAAATTTACTCAACTGTAACACTTCGCTTTTTGCATATGGCTGTATTGACCTGAGAGCCAGGAAGTTCTGGCACAACCTGTATTTTTATCCTGAGGCAGGTAGATAGACTCCAGCTACCTTGTGAACCGTGTGGTTTTCTTGGCAACTCTCTCTGTGTTTGTCTCTGCAGTCTCATCAGTCTTGGTAGCTGTGCCACTATTCGGGGTGGGGAGTGAGTGGGACTCTGTCATCACTGCAGTAAATTAAAGTGAAACTTACTATCCCTGAGCCCAGGGGCAGCTGATATTGCAGATGGGGGAATAATGTCTGTGTAAGTAACTGTGTACAGATACTCTCCTTGGTGCCTATGGTGATTAAAGTAACTACAGTGCACCTTGTAGCATGGTACCTGTTACACAGTAGATGCTCATTAGATGTTGGTAGTTCAGTTAACCAGGATGGTCAAGGAAGGCAGTGATAAATAGAAGACAAGCAGATCTGAGTTGAAGCCCTTCTTTATGACAATTAAACAGGTGACTTTGGGAAAGTTATTTAACTTTTGAGCCTCAATTTTCACATGTTGAAAGGAGAGCTAATAAGCCTGCTACATAGGGTTAAATGAGATAATATGTCAGGCATGTAGCATTATGCTTGATGTTTGACTTTCCAAAAGAAGAAGGCAGTGTTAGGGCCCGGTAAGGTGGATGCTGCTGCTTGGCAATCACAGGCCTAGACACCCAGGCATGCCCAGAAGAGCAGCATCCTCACTATCAGTGGGCAGAGTGGGAGCTTTGTTCCAGAAGGAAAGGTGCAGTGAAGAGAGGTGATTAATGTGGGGAGGGGAGGGATGAAGGCATGAATGATGGGAATAATGAGGAAAAAATGGAAACATCTAGATTATATCCTTTCTTCCTAAAAATAAAGTAAAAGACTCATTTCTTTTGCCCAGCACGTCTGTCAGCCAGTTGATTCTGCAGTTCTGTTTCAGTGCCTACTTGAGTGTTTTGTAGACTGGTTTTGGGAAAATGTGTATATATATATATGCATGTATACACAAAATTAAAGTTAAAAATAGTTGCCAAATAGATGTTCTTTTAAAATGAAGGATGATAAATAAGTGCTGGAAGCATCTGTGGGAGGAATTGGTGTGGGTGAGAAGGGAAGGCTTCTTGCAAGAGGAGATTTGATTTGACTCCTGAAAGGGGTTGAAGTTTTGGTCCTTTTCTTTTTGAAGGCCACTGATATTTCCCAGAGTCTGTTCCATTGCCCCTTCGTCCTTGCAGATGCTTTGGATGGAGTCTATTTTAAGGGTCAGCTGAGTTTGCAGAAGCATCATATCCTGTCACCCATGTGCCTGGTTCACAATGCTTGTTCACTCCTGAAGTCCCTGTCAACCCTGCCAGAAAGGGACCTGCTGAATTGTATAGCCTGGCAGGGCCAGGTGCCATACTCGATTAGCGGAACAACCCAGAAAGCTTGGGATCTTTGTGCTGCTGAACACCACTGCAAGCTATTTTCCTTTCTAAGTCACACTTTACGGAGCATAGTTGTCATTTGTCTCTGTGTACATATTTGTAAAGCATTTGGAGATACCAAGTATGTTAACTGTAGCTCTTTAAGAGTGTGTGTGTGTGGGCGGGGGGGTGGAAACAAGCCTAAGTAGAAAAATAGTGAGAATTACACTTTTGAATTCCAGTTTTCACCTTGAATTTGTCTTTTCTCTGTCGCTTGTTTTGTTTTTATGAAATGCTTTATATAGAGTACTTGCATATAATGAAAAAGAATTATCCTTAAAAGTTAAAAATTGAAACATTTTAAAAATACTCCTATTTTAACAAAAGTTTTTTATTTTTCTCCATTTTCAAGGTATATTACCCAAATTTGGGATGGATGTGCATTGATGCCACTGATCCAGAGAAGGGAAACTGGCTGCGATATGTGAATTGGGCTTGCTCAGGAGAAGAGCAAAATTTATTCCCACTGGAAATCAACAGAGCCATTTACTATAAAACTTTAAAGGTAACAGTGTTAGAATTAATTTACTGTTAGTTACACTGCTTATGTTTTCCTTTTTTTTTTTTTTGAGATGGTCTCATTCTGTTGCCCAGGCTGGAGTGCAGGGGCTCCATCACAGCTCACTGCAGCCTAAGCCTCCCCAGGCTTGGGTGATCCTCGGACTTCAACCTCCTGAGTAGCCAGGACTATGGGCACATGCCACCACACCTGGCGAAGTTTTGAATTTTTTGTAAAGACAGAGCTTTGCTATGTTATCCAGGCTGGTCTCAAACTGCTGGGCTCAGCGATCTACCTGCCTTAGCCTCCCAAAGTGCTGGGATTACCGGCACAAGCCACAATGCCTGGGCCTGCTTATGTTTTTCTAATGCTGTCCTTAGTTGTGACTGACAATAATTTTGCAGGCCTGGAAAGGATTATATTTGGAAGTGCTTCATCCACACTCTCAAGATTCTGTGTTTTAATATATGGTTGCCGTGTGTGTCAGGGAGCTAAAGCATGAAGATCGTGTTAAGTAATTACACAGTGCATCTTTAAAGATACTGATGAGTTAAGCATGTGGCAGCTGCTTCCCTCCTCTGATGACACAGAGGCATTGGGAACTGTCTGGCAGATTTATCCAACTGTAAGAAACTATCAGTAGGTATGGTGGGTCTGTGTTAACTGAATACACATTGTTAGTCTTTGATATTAATGTAGCCTTGGATTAGCTTTTCTTTTCCCTAAATTTTACTGAGAATAGAAATTGAACAGAACATGTTTCTTCCTTCTGCCAAATTTTTCCTTGGAGATATTACCTGTTGAAAAGAAGAAAGTCATGTTTTAGGATTGGTAATGAGGTTATAGAGCACATTCAGGGACATGAATGTGAGGAAGCGTGGAGTGTTGCTGCATTTCTTCGTGGAGCAAAGGCCATGTCTCCCTCATTTTCATGGGTCACATTCTTTAAGAAGACAAATCCGGCCAGACTTGGTGGCTCACGCCTGTAATCCCAGCACTTTTGGGAGGCCCACGTGGGCAGATTATGAGGTCAGGAGATCAAGACCATCCTGGCTAATAGAGTGAAACCCCATCTCTACTAAAAACAAAAAATAAGCCGGGCATGGTGGCGGGTGCCTGTAGTCCAGCTTCTCGGGAGGCTGAGGCAGGAGAAGGGCGTGAACCTGGGAGGCAGAGGTTGCAGTGAGCCGAGATCATGCCATTGCAGTTTAGCCTGGGCGACAGAGCAAGACTCCGTCTCAAAAAAAAAAAAGACAGATCCTCACATTATACATGGAGATATTCTAAGGCAAAATTTCAAGCCTGTTAAGATGGATGGTTGTTGCTTTTTGCATTAGATAGGCAAAATTGCTATAAGGCAAATTTCTCTTTATTCACTTTCATTAAAAATGTCATATGTTGGAGAATAGTCTACGAGAAAAATGATCTCCATGGAGTTGAACACTTTTGATGAGCACATATTTCAAATCGTGGCCAGCTTTGCAGTGTGCTGTGTTTTGTTAGTGTAGTGGCAGTAGGCCTTCTGGAAGTTTAGTTAACCTGTAGCTGTTTAATTTTGCTGCATCTTTCCTGACATTGTTAGCCAACTAGACTGACTTTTACCACGTTTATACCCAGGTCCTTGTGTCCAATCCCGGCAGATTTTTTGTTACACTTTCTTATTTAGGACTTTAAAAACCTGTTTTCAGTTTTTATTCTGCTAGATCGTAGTAGCATGCTTTTCTAGTAGGTATTACTCTACAATTTTCTTATATTGGAGTTTGAAGTTGGATTCAAGAATGCATTCTGTTTCTCAAAAGTATTTAAAGTGAGAAATACATATGGTTGAATCAATGAGGTAGAATCTTAGTGGAGATGAAATACTCACTAGGGGATGAATATGAGACAACAAGGTAATAGGAAGGAAGATTTTTTTTTTTTTTTTTGACACAAGTGTCGCTGTGTCACCCAGGCTGGAGTGCAGTGGCATGATCTTGGCTCACTACAAGCTCTACCTCCTGGGTTCACGCCATTCCCCTGCCTCAGCCTCCCAAGTAGCTGGGACTACAGGCGCCCGCCACCATGCCTGGCTAATTTTTTGTATTTTTAGTAGAGATGGGGTTTCACCATGTTAGCCAGGATAGTCTCAATCTCCTGACCTCGTGATCCATCCGCCTTGGCCTCCCAAAGTGCTGGGATTACAGGCTTGAGCCACCATACCCGGCAGGAAGGAAGTTTTGAAGGCATGCAAGCTCATGTAGGTATTAGGACACTGCAATTCCTTCATTATACTTCAAGTTAAAATGTGTTCATCTCTGATGCAAATTCACAGAAACACTGAGAAGCAAGATAGAATAGTGGTTGGGAGAGTGAACTCTGAGGCCAGACTGCCTGTTTTAGATCTTGACTTGCTGTGACCCAAGGCAAGAAGGTGTGACCTGACTAGCTTTGTAACCTTAGCTAAGTCCGTCTTTGTGCCTCAATTCCCTCATTGTAAGATACCTGTAATTATGGTATTGACCTCATAGGGTTGTTGTGATGATTGCATGGGTGAATACAGATAGAGCTTCAGCACCTAGTAAGTGCTAATAAATGATTGCTGTTATTTTTCACAAGGTGGTATGGTGTCACGGTCAGGAGTGGGGACTCTGGAGCAGACTGTCTTGTGAGCAAATTTTGGCTTCTAGATATGTGACCATGCGAAGGATCTCTCTGTGTCTTAGTTTTCTCATCCATAAAATGGAGGTAATAATAAAACTGCTTCATAGTTTGTTGTGAAGGTTAAACAAGCCAATATATATATAAGGTTCTGTGAACAATTCTTGGTTCAGTGTAAGTCCTCAAGTGTTAACTAGCTACACTAGTACTATTATTTTTACCTTTGTCCGAAATAACATAGTTCTGATTTTTGAAGACCTCCCCCAGTCTTGATCTTTGATATTTGCTCAAGTATGTACAAAGCCTCTCAGATTTTTTACTAATGATTATCTTAACTCTAGTCTTCTAGATTAAGTGTTCCGTGGGTTAGGTTTTGTAAAGAAATTACATGTGATGCTCTGTGGGCTCTGTATCTTCTCAGCTTATTATTACACCCAGATAATTGGGAAATCTCAGCACTGGTTTTGTTTGTAATATGATTAAAAACGATTTAAAATTCCTGAAAGTTAGCTGTTAAGTCTGCTATCTATTCATTCCTCTGTTCGTTAGTTTGGTGAATATTTATTGAGAGTCTGCTGTGTACCGAGTTCTCTCCTATGGTAGTGAACAGGACAGACAAGGTTTCTGGTCTGGTGGATGTTCCGTGTTACAGGGGAAGAGGCAGATAGTAAGTAAATAAGAAAGTAATTTCCGGTAGCGATTAGTGTGTTAAGACAGTAAAATGTGATAAGAGACTAGCTAGGTAGGAGAGGGCTGCTTTGTCTCCAGTGAGTCAGGGAAGGCCTTCCTGAGGAAAGACGTTCGAACCCCACTCCTTGGATAGGAAGGATCTGGCTACGCAAAGGTCTGCTGGAAGAGCAATCCAGGAAGAGGAGTGGTAGGAGCAAAGGCTTTGGAATAAGTATAAGCTAATGGTTTTTTTTTTTTTTTTGAGATGTAGTCGTGCTCTGTCGCCCAGGCTGGAGTGCAATGGCGCAATCTCAGCTCATTGCAACCTCCGCCTCCTGAGTTCAAGCGATTCTTCTGCCCCAGCCTCCTGAGTAGGTGGGACTATGGGCGTGTGCCACCACACCCAGCTAATTTTTGTATTTTCAGTAGAGACGGAGTTTCACCGTATTGGTCAGGCTGGTCTCCAACTCCTGACCTCGTGATCTGCCCACCTTGGCCTCCCAAAGTGCTGGGACTACAGGCGTGAGCCACCGCTTTTGTTTTTGATTTTAAAGGAATAGAACAAAAGCCCATGTGGCTGGAGGGAGGAGGAGAGGAATCTTAGGAGATGAGGCTGGTGAGGTCCACAGGGATGGGTGAGTTTTTTTTTTTTTTTTTTGAGACAGAGTTTCACTCTTGTTGCCCAGGCTGGAGTCCAATGGCGCGATCTCAGCTCCCAGCAACCTCCGCTTCCTCAGCTCAAGCGATTCTCCTGCCTCAGCCTCCCAAGTAGCTGGGATTACAGGCATGCACCACCATGCCCGGCTAATTTTGTACTTTTTTAGTAGAGACAGGGTTTCTCCATGTTGGTCAGGCTGGTCTGGAACTCCCGACCTCAGGTGATCCGCCCGCCTCGGCCTCCCAAAGTGCTGGGATTACAGGCATGAGCCACCACGCCCGGCTATGGGTGAGTTTTAGGCTTAAGTGCTGTTCACCCATTGGAGAGTTGAGGCCGAGAGCTGACTGATGACTTTTTAAAAGACCGAGCTGGGGACTGATTGTAGGTGGGTATGACTGGATGCACTTTGTGTTTTCGAGTGATTCTGGAATACTTCTCTAATTTTCTAATATTTCTGACACATTTTTCTATTATTCCTTATCCAGTATAAGGAATATTAGAACCCTTGCTTCTTCCCAATTTGTTTGGTAAACTTTCAAGTTTATTTATGTATGCTGATGTTTAAACAAGAGAATATAGAGCAGATTCTTGGTTTTATACCTGTCTGAACCCAAAGAGAAAGTGGGAAGAGTTTAAAATCTTTGTTGTTGTTAATTTTTTCTTTAATATCAAAATATATTTAAAAAGAGGTTGTTTGGTCTTTTGACTTTATTTTTTTAATGTGGATTTATATTTCCATTGTTGAAGGGATTAATTTTTCTTTTCTTCTGAATTTGACTTAAAAATGCTAACCTGTACAGAAGAAGAAAAAAACACAATATAGTATGGAAGAAAACAAGCCTTGGTTTAAAAAAAAATTATTATTTTCCTCTTCATAGGGTCTATTGGTGTAGCTGTTTTAATATTAAGTTGCGAAGCATATATAGCTCCGTAATATAACCATTTCAAGTTACTAATAATTTTTGTGGTGTTTTGTTTTCTACTACTTGTTTATTTTTATTTATTTATTTATTTATTTTTAAGATAGGGTCTCACTCTGTCTCCTAGGCTGGAGTGCAGTGACACAATCTTGGCTTACGCAGCGTCCGCCTCCCAAGCTCAAGTGATCTCCCACTTCAGCTTCCCGAATCGCTGTGACTGCAGGCACACACCACCATGCCTGGCTAGTTTTTGTATTTTTAGTAGAGACAGAGTTTCGCCACGTTGCCCAGGCTGGTCTCAAACTCCTGTGCTCAAGCAGTTTGCCCACCGTGGCCTCCCAAAGTTCTGGAATTGCAGCCATGAGCCACTATGCCCGCTAATAATTTTGAAGGCTGTTTAGCAGCTAACAAATATGTTCCTCTTGATCTAACACTTCACCAGTGCTAGAAATTTTATATTTGATTTGTGATACAGATTCTGGTGTGTTTTTACTTTGTGTGTTTTGCAGCAACAAGAATATCTTAGGACATGAGTGCCCTCCCAAGTAGAGTTTATGAGCGCCCTCACCAAGTTGCTAGTTCAGTTATCACTTCACTGACAACTGCAGTGGAGTGAACAGGGAAACTTAAGTTCTTATTCTTAGAGGTATCTTGAAAATGTCCGGTGGTATCTTCTAGCCAGTTCTCTGGTTATGTCATTTCAGTGGGGAATTAACGGGGAGTGCGTTTGTTTTCACTCCTTCCCATATTCTTTTTTGCTTTGGTTTTAAGACTTTACATATTTCTGAGAACTCTAGTCATTTCAAGTATTAGTTGACAGTACCATTTCTTAACTATGTGACTTATAACAAAAAATAGAGAAACTGTACATTTGGAATTTATATAATCTAGAAACAGTTTACTTTAACATAAGCCTGCTGTTTCAACAGATTAGCTCATCAGAATGCCAAAAGGTGTTTGTGATGGCTGTTTTAACTCATTAATATCTTATATATTAAAGTAAGTTTTTTGGTTAGATTTAACTGATTCAAGAGGGGAAATCATGTATTGGTTCAAAAGTAAGAAAAAGGCAGATTTTAGCCTTCTTAGGGGTGGGGGAGAGCCAAGGAAACAGCTGCCTTTTCTTTTAAATAATTTAGAATATTTTAAAATTTGGACTATAGAAACAGAGTTCTGCAGTGAATTAAACCAAGTAATATTTACTTTTAGGGGCTTTATCTAGACTAGAAGGTATGTTGAAGTGAGGAACTATTTTGTTTCTAAACTGTAGATGGAATTTCCCTCCCTGCAAAAATAAATAAATAAATAAAAAAACAAAAAGCAGGATCACTCTCTTAGATAACCATTGTGCAAAGATCCAAATCAGGAAGCTAACAGCAACACATTGTTTTATTAGGTAATATGTACACCTGACTCAAATTCTGTCAATTGTTCCAGTCATCTCTTTGTAGGAAAACAAAACGTTTTCACGTTGGATTGTCATGTCTCATGTGTTTGGCTGGTACCTTAGTCTTTGTTTTTTTACAACCTTTCAGTTTTGAGAACTGGTTGGTTATTTTGTAGAATGTCCCAAAGTTTGAGCTTCTCTTACGTTTCATCATGATTAGATTCGATGTATGCATTTTGGGCAGAAATCTACCAGAAGTGATGCTCTGTTTTCTGTGCATTATATCAGGAGACATATGATGTTGATATGTCTTATTACAAAAGTGTTGTTTTTTTCTTTTGTAATAAATAAATATTTTATGGGGAGATATTCTGAGGCTATGTATTTTGTTACTTCTCAAACTTTTACCTACTTTTAGCATCCATTTATGATTCTTGCCTGAGTTAATCGTTACTGTGATGATTGCCAAATGACGATTTTCTAATTCCAACATTTCTTTTTTACTGATCAGTTGGGATCTCCTTTAAGGAAGAGCTTTCCTTTTTATTTACTTGGTCATTCCTGCATTCATTCACATCAGGCTGGACTCATGGATTCTTATTGTATTCAGTGGATTTTAGATAGAATTTTACTTGTATTGATAGCCTTGAAACTTTTCTCACAGATCAATCGCTGTGAGAGAAACCCATAAGCTGTTTCCCCAAATTCTAGGGGTGTGAACTTCGCACTCAGTGGATCTTCGGGATCTTGTTCTGGGTGGAATCAATTTGATGGTGGCCCTCACTGCTTCCAGCCATACGTGGCTTAAGAATGTGATGGTTTAGGAGCACAATACATGGGAAATACTTCCTGCTGTATTTAAAAGTTAAAATGTGGAAGTTTGATGTCCGGTCCGAAGGGCGAGGCACTGACCTCCCTGGACCCGAGCAGGTTGGTGGCCCCGGGCGGCCTCCCATTGGCGGCTCTGGGATAGAAACCGCGGCGCATTTGTAAGTGCTTGCGCGTGGTTCCTCCTCGTTGTCCTGTTAAAGTTGCTCTTGGTCTGGAATGCGCGCTGGTCGTTACCTTTCAGCACTCCGCTTTCCACGCCGCATGCTTTTCAGTTATGCTTTATATTTCTCCTCGACTTAGATTTCGTGAGCTTTTAAAATGGTCCCATGTTTTATTTTTTCTCGTGCGTGGGCCGTCGTAAGGCTTTAAAGAGGAAGCTGTGACAGCACCCGGGCTCCGCTGCTCGTCACCTGGCGTTCCGCGCCCCTCGCCCCGCGCCGCGGGTGCGGTCCTCCCTCCAGCAGAGGGTTCCGGGCGCCGGCGCGGCCCGCACGGGGCCGGGAGCCCTTCCTGCCGGCCGGGTGCGCGCGACGCCGCCGACAGCTGTTTGCCATCGGCGCCGCTCCCGCCCGCGTCCCGGTGCGCGCCCCGCCCCCGCCAACAACCGCCGCTCTGATTGGCCCGGCGCTTGTCTCTTCTCTCCCCGCAGCCAATCGCGCCGGGCGAGGAGCTCCTGGTCTGGTACAATGGGGAAGACAACCCTGAGATAGCAGCTGCGATTGAGGAAGAGCGAGCCAGCGCCCGGAGCAAGCGGAGCTCCCCCAAGAGCCGGAAAGGTAGGAGCCCCCGGCCCGCCCGCCCGCCCGGTCCCGGCGCCACGCCCGTCTGGGACGCCGCCCTGCCGCCCCCGCCGCTGCTGGCCCGACCGCGAGGCGGGTCGCGGGCTCGGGCGGCGGCGCCCGCGGCGTCTCGGTGACCTTTTCCGGACTCGGCCGGGCCCCGGCCCCGCTCCCGCCCCGCGGTCCCGCTCAGGCCCTGCGATCGCCGCCCTCCCGCCCTGCCGTCCGGCCCCGCTGCTGAATCACGGCCGCCGCGCGCTCTGGCTGTTTCCTAACTTGTGACTTAGCTCCTGGGCGGCGGAAAGTGCGCGGACGCTGCTCCGGGGCCGGACATTCTCCCGCTGGCACCCCGAGCCGCGCTCCGCAGTTGCGCTCACGGCGGGCGCTCGAGTCCTCTCGCGGCTGGCGTGACAGCCCCGGCTCCGCAGACTCGGGCCCGCCGCGCAGGACGCGGGCCGCGTCGGCGGCGGAGTCGGGGTGGGGGAGTGGGGGAGGCAGAGACAGAGAGAGACAGAGATAGGAGGCGGCGGGGAGGGCAGGGAGACAGCGGGCGCGGTGGGCTTCCGAAAGGATGCCCAGGGGGTAGTGGAAGTTAGAGAGCGTGTGGTTTTGTCGTTTTGACTCAATTCTCATAGTTTTACGACTTCTGATGATTTCGAACAAAAGGTAAAAGTGTAGTCACACTTAAAAAGGAAGGGGATAGTTTCTGGGTAGGAAAATAGTTTGGTTGGCTGTATCATATTTCCAGCTGGCATACTGACACGTTGGAATTTTTTTTTTAATGAAGAATTTTAATGTGAATTCAGGAATCGTTCATAGATTCCCAGTTTGAAAATATGCCAAAGCACAGTATGATAGTTTCTTATTGATACAAATACAGATTTGTGGGTTTTTTTTTTTTTTTGCTCGCCTGAGGTGTTAAGTAGATTTTTTTAGTCATCTGAACGAACGAGTCTATTCTTTACCCAGAACATTGCAAAGCGAGTTGTGGAAGTCATACTGTAAATAAAATCATGTCGTAAACTCGATTTAGGAAAATGTTAAAATCGACTTTAAGGAATGTAGGCAAGAAGTCTGTTCTGATTTTTCAAGTATGTATTCTTTATGTATCACCACAAAATGGAAATACAATTAATTTCCCCGTGAGACAGTTAGTAGGCCTTTTACTGAATATGCATTGTCTATTTATTGAATGTGATTTAGTCACTGCTTTAGAGCGTTCAATGCTTTTGATCCTGAATCAGATGATCAGTCTAGAAAATTCCCAGGTTTTTTTTTTTTGTTTGTTTTTTGTTTTTTAAACTTTTAACTGAGTTCTGGGATTTTGTTAATATTGGGCTTAGTGCTTAATTGTTTGCAGTGAAAACTTTTTATGTAATTCAACTTGTTCCTTTATTTAGTATTCCTTTTGTTTACAACTAATGTTACCAGCCTTCCAGGTAAGTTGTTATTTGTAGGGGGCTGGAGATGGGGAGGACAGGACTCCCTTTACTGTGCCACTAATCATAACTAACTCCTATACTTAAATAGATTTGTAGTTTAATAGCAACCTTACTTTAACGCTTTTCTCTGTTTGGCATACTTTGGTGTGCATGATTAGAACATATGTCATTACTCTTGCTTTTTTGTTTATCTGTTTATTTGTCTCTTAGTCGGATTTGGGGAAAATCTTGAACATATACTTTCTGTTTTATTAGTGATATATGAACTTAATATCTGCATTTTTATACCTGTGTAGATTGTTGGTGTTTCGTATTGACTTAAATAGTTCATATTTATTATTATCCTATTATTTTGTACTACTATGGACAGCCTATAACTCAGAATCCTAGGTTTTAATTAATTAAAAGACTTATGCTTTTGCAAAGCTCTCTCTTGGAACTTACAGTCTGTGTTTAACAGCTTGCTGGTAAAGAGATCTGTTTGCTCTCTAAGACTTAAGCTTTGGACAGTTTAAATAATGAGTCAAACCTTTTTTACTTTTAAATTAAATACTCAGTTAAAACCAATTTATAGCTTTCAAAGACCTGAAATGGAGTCTTTTTTTTTTTTTTTTAAAGTATTAACTCAGTTCTATTTAGGTCTTATGTGTGACCTCAAACATTTAAGTAGTATCTTTTCAGGCAGTGATGTCAGAGAGCGAATCAACATAAATGTCATTCAGAGGCAATGTTAACTTAGTATTGTTGAAAGCCGCATGTTGAATACATAGAGTCGACAGGTAGATTGACAGTGGGCTTGACTTCATTTTCATTATGAGACAGAGAGAAAAACAAAGGGCTGAATTCTTCATAGTTCTGGACTTCAGCTCCTTTGCATGACAGCTGCTGTACTTACAGCTGTGCATTGCATGTGGTGCCTTTCAGAATTCATCACATCGCTGGTGGATCATAAGGCGTGTTTGGGCAGAGCAAAGCCCTGGTTTCTTTACATACAAAGTAGTGGCCTCTCCTCTCTCCCCTCCTCACGTCTCCTTTCTCCTCCCCTCCCCTCCCCATTTTCATTCATTCATCTAATGTTTATTGAGCCCCTGCTGTGTATTAGGCTCCCTGCTGGGTTGTAGCACACAGTGATGAGCGAAAAAGCAGTGGTAACTCTTCTTATGGTGCCTGTAGTCTAGTGGGGAAGACAAACATTAAATCAGTAAATAGCTGATCAGCGCCTAGATGGTTGGCATGTAGTAGGCCCTCAATAAATATTAATTGATTGACAAGGACTCACACAAATGTTTTAGAAAGGAAAAGAATGCAGTGCGGTGAGAACACAGTTCATATTGGCTCTGACCGTGGAGCATGCAATTTTACCATAGGCCAAAGATGGATATACATCAGGCATTTTAAACTGGAGTTTAATTTGGATTCCCAGTTTTGTAATTGAGCGTCTTCACTTTTTACACATCTGAGCAGCCTCTATGCAATGAAAAATAAGTTCCTTAGATGGACTAGATTAAGCTTTCAGGTAGAGAGCAAGGAGGGTTTTTAGTGTCCGGTGTTTCAGGCTGTTTTAATGTGAATCACAGAAAAATTACAATTATAAAATAGCATTGAAACAGCCAAATTCAGAAGTATTTCTCATCTTCTTGATCTCTGTCCCCTGTTTGTTTTGGTGACAAATGAGAAATTGAATTTGCTTGTTAGCAGTAAGCAATGACTGTTGGCAAATGCTCTTCCAGAGTGTAGATTATAATAGCAGTGTTTGCTCTGTCAGTTACCTAAGAGCCTTACCTGAAGTTCTTTTACCTGGAGAAACAACAGTGGCTTTCTACAAATGGGCTTAGTGGAAGGAATGAAAAAGACAGGATGCCTGGGCATTTACCAGGTGTGCGACTTTGGACAACTCATGTCACCTTTCTGAGATGAAGTTTGTTTCCCTAGCCTGAAAAAGGAATATCATCATATCGATGATGCTTGTGCCACCTAACCTCACAAAGTTGTCAAGAGCAAGTGAGAATTTAATAGAAACATGCTCTGTGAAGCTGTGGGCTCTTGGGGAACTCTAAGTACCAACTCTCACAGCATGGCTGGCGTTTACTTCGCTGCTACTTGTGGAGGAACGACTGAGTTGGTGACTCATTTAATCAATGGGGATTTATGGAGCACCTGTGTAAGCTCAAAATAAGCACTGGGTCTCTTCTTTCCCTCTTCCTTCCTACGTCACAGCCCTATTCTGTGCTGATTCACTCTTGTTTTAGGCCTAGGTTCTAACCTATTGACCTCGCTGTTCACAGCAGGTTGAGAGAGAGGAGTTTATATTTATAGCAGCAAGAAGTTTTATACCTGAAAGCTGGACAGAGAAGAAGACAGAAGGTTTATAACAAAACCAGTAACGAATTACAAAGAACAAGTTCCTTAAGGTCAGTTAGTAGGTTCAGATAGTCCTTCCTAAAAACCGTAAGTAGTGCCTGAGAATATCAACTAGTTTATAAGTATTTATCTTAGCGACGTTTAGTCACCACAGAACAGTTATTATAATCAGCTTAGCAAAGTAATATTTTATCTCCACGATCAGAATTTAAATTAAAAATCTTGGTACTGTGAAGAACACTCAAGTTTTTTGAAATTGTATATATTTGAAATTCTTCTGTAAAGGTGCTAAATAACAAGTGTTTAGAAACTTAAAATATAGGGAGGTAAGAGAGCCACATGCAAAGATAACTCAGTCTAAGGTAGTCTTAAAAAAAGTGCAACACGGATTGTATAGGCAGTAAGGGCTATTGGCCCTCCCTAAGAGAAGGAAAAAGGGATGCTGAGCTGGGCTGGCCAGGGAGCCTTTATGTAGAAAGGGTGGCAGGATGGGGACATTTCAGAACAGAGAGAGGAAGGAGAAGGACGTCAGGAGGAACCTTGGGGCCTGAGAAGTTGTAACTGTCTGGATGGTCTTCCTCTCTGTTATTTAACAAGTATTCCTTGTGTCTGTGTCAGGCACTATTCTGGGTGCTGGAGTTTCAGCAAAGAACTAAAATGGCAAGGTTCCCTGTTCACATGGAATCACATTCTGGAGAGTAGGGAGTACAGGCCAACAGATGAAGTAGGTAAACCTTGTCAATAGTGTTTTGTAGGGTGGGTGGGGGAGGTATGGCCTGACTGTAGGTGGGAGGTCAGGGGTGACCATTCTGAGGTTGTGACATAAATGACAAAGAAGTTCTAGAGGCTGAGGGCTCTGGGAAGAGGGACCCAGTTCTTTTAGCAGTTCTACTCACGTAGAAGCCTACATGAGTATTTTTGGATTATGAAACTCAGTTCTGCAAATGGACATATATTGGCCCTTTTTCTGCCAGGCGCTGCACCAAGTGGCTGGGTTGGTTGTTGAGGGAGATGAGAGAGATGACTACAGCAGGCACCATCCTCCTCCAGTGCGTAGTCTCCAGTCTGTTTCATGATAGCCATGTGCAGGTCAGACTTTAGTGGGTGTTCTGGTTGTTGTGGGAGAGAAGGAAATGGACACTTTGCAAAATTGGATAACTTGTCCAAGATTGCCCTACCAATGAGTGTCACAGT